TGTCCCCTTTCCTCACACCACTTTATAGTATAAACACATTGCAATTTATACTGGGTCCACCTAGCTTTATAATATATAAGTAAGAAACCATTGATTACCAACAAATTGGGGTTAGCTCAGGAATGCAAGAACGATTTAATATTAGGAAAATCTGCTAGTGTAATTCACCATATTAACTGGTTTATGAGAAAGACTTATGATGATCTCAGTAGATGCAAATAAAAGCTTTTGATTAAAAATTAAAATTTTTGAAAAAATTATTATCTCAGTAGGTACAAAAAGTTACTTTTGGCAAAATGCACTTTTCATTACTGACAAAAATCTTAGCAGATGTGTAATAGATGTATTAATATAGACTAGGCTATGATGCAGTGACAATTAAACCCTGCTATTTCAGAGGCTTCACACAGCAAATGCTTATTTCTCTTTTGCATTACAGTCCAAAGCAGTCATGTGACTCTTCTCTAAGCTGTAACTCAGGAATATAGGCACTCCCTATTGGTGATGATATTCAAAATGTGGCCTCCATTGTTGCCATGGAAAGGGAAGAGACAGCATGGGAAATTTCTTGCTTGGGTGGGAGTGGTTGAATATAACCATGATTGAAGGTGACATTTATCACTTCTCATATTCCATTTTTCAGAACTCAGTCACATGGCTTAGATAATTCAAATCTGGCGTAAAGACCACACCCTTAATTTGATATTTGACCTGAATTAAATATCACATTATTCACCTGAGACAGTTTATTGGGCCTTTGTGGCTCAAAGCCTTTTAAAATCTCTTTCTTTAGAGATGTGGAATCATTAAACTCTTCCAGCCACAAAAGGTCTGAATTTCTGTATTTTCTCTTTTTTCTTGCATACTGGTCCAAAGCTTAACTTTTCCCCTCTTCCCCCTAAATGCAGCCAGTAGTACTGAAAGATGCTTTTAACATTCTGTTTTTCAATTTCTTTTTCAAAAGCAACAAACTAATTAGGCACATGTTCTTTATTCTAAGTTATAGCAGGTGGCAGTTTTACCATCTCATAATAAGATTTATGATGTCACTGTTATATCCTCTGCTGTTAGTTTCTTCATTACCTCACACCCAACTTCTAGGCCAATCCCCATTCTTATTTTATTTTTATGATAGCAACATTCCAGTTCAGGTTACCAATTACTGTATCAGTCACACATTTTCAGGAAATATCAAATATTCTAGGTAAGCTTGGTCAGAAGCTATTATTGGGTTTAAACATTGGAAGACAAGGGAGTAGAGATCAGGAAGACTGCTTTCTGGAAGTTCAGGAGTAAAAGGCATACAGGAAAGATGTCAGTAGGCTCTGAACTGTGTGCACACAAAACAGGTGATTTTTATAGGGATTGTTGATCACCATAGGCAAAATTTTTCCGTTCTCATCTACTAATGATCACTATGGGCAAAATTTTTCTATTGTCATTTACTAATGCCTACACATGCCTGCAACTGTTTCTAGGGAACTGGGGCTCTCTTTCCTTCCACTTTCCTGTCTCTTGCAAATAGCTTTCATTAGTGGAACCTTAATGATAAGAGATTTAGGGGAATGTAGTTTTAAGGATTTATATCTTTCACCCAGGAAAGATCTTAGAATGGTGGATGTGGTAGTAAATATCAGTAACTAATAATGTGGCACTGAGAAGAACTTGCTCAACTGCTCAACTTGACAGTGGATATTTTAAGGAAATCTTTACCAATTATCATTCTTAATCCTCAAATCCCTTTATAGTCACAAGCAAAATAAGCATTCCCACCAGCAGTTTTGTTTAATATTATACTGGAAGCTTGAGGCAGTTCAGTAGAATAAGAAAAATAAATATACATTTAAAGATTTAAAGGAAGAAATGAAGCTGCCATTATTTGCAGAAAATGATTATCAACATTAAAAATAAACAAAAATCTGTAAAATAATGTTTTGCTAATGGTTCTGAGTCAGTAAAGATACTGTAAAGCTTTGTGAATCATCACCAGAAGTGAAAATATTGCTCAGCATTGTTTTGTAGCCACTATTACCAGTTTCCAAAGATTAAAACAGAGCTTATTTAAATGGCATATTACTTGGCTAGAGTCTTTCTCCATTCATTCTGACTGGTGTTCATCAGAGTAAGTCATTGAATCCCAAAAGACCCTGGCCATGTTCTCCAACTGTTCCATAGAAGAATAATTTCCTGGACATAGCCTCTGCTCTGGAATTTAAGAAGTAAGTGCATTATTAGTGTTAATAGTAGTTTCCCTTTTGAAGTAGAACAATGAACATTTTCCTTCCTTTGGGCTGGTGTCTTCAGACTGGGTTGCTTATGAGATTATTATTATTATTTCTCTGAGTTATACACATACAATCCAACTTCAGTGATAGTGGTTTGGTAGTAAGTGGCCTTTCTCATAATTAGAAAATAATTTTATGACAGGATAAAGCTTAAAATGGCTCTCTTTGTGAAATGAACATGCTTTTGCTTGCAAGATTAGCCCAATTCCCACTGCTATACCTGGCAGCAGAATTGCCCAATCAGTTTGGTGACTGAATTGAACTTTTTCTACAGGAATCATGTAACTATGCAGCTTCAGAAACACAAATCCACTCCCTCATTGCTGGTTTTCTGACAGCTTTTCTGTAGAACAGTTTGAAGAGTAGAGAGCCCTGTTACTGAGACAGAAAAGTGTTTTCACACCTGATGTGTAATTTCACACCTTGTGTTTCTCAGCAGATAAGTGCATAAAATAACACATCAAACTGGAATAGAAAAAGATCAACATAGAAAACTGCAGGTTGTAATTTGTTTCCTATCTCACAATGCTCTTGGAGAGAACAGTAAATTACAGAGATATGCGTTTATGCTTTAAAAAGTTTGACTGGTCGTTCGGTGGGAAAATGAGCAGTAAACAATAATCAGCTTGCTGCCTGCATTGAACAGAATGTGCAGAATGACAGAATTTGGGAAACACCCTAACATTTTGATTTTTTAAGAGAATAGTGTGCACATGTCAATAGTAAAATTTGTAGATAAAGGTCAGGACATTTATAAATTGATTTTAATAAAAATGTAATTGAGGAGATAATTATTTTATGATGGTTCCATTCAGGAATTTTAGCAAAAGGAGATCATGTTGGTAAAATTTATGTTTTCTTTCCTTTATATAATGAGGCTAGTCACTGTTTTCTGGCATTCTAGTGAAGGGGTTATACAATGAGGAGGTTTAGCCTCATTGCACAAGTTTGAAAACTTGAGACAGAAAGAAAAAGAAAGTTGAGCTCCCTGACTAGGCATGAACATTCATTATAAAATATTTATTGAAGGTCTAGTGCATGGTAGGCGTGAGCTAGGCATCAGAGGTACAATGGTTAATAAGGCAATCCCTCTCACTACCATTGGGAAACTGTCTTTGCAGATGAGTAAATAGGCAGTGATAATACTGGTGGTAAGTGCTGAGACAGGCTAAAACTAGGTTTTAATGGAGACTATGGGATGGTTATTGGAACCGGTGGGATTGAGGGAAAAAGGTCAGAAAGGTCAGCAAATATTCCCAGATAAAGCGATATCCGGACTGAACTTAATGAACAAAAGTTGTAGGAGGCTGAGCATCAGTTGGGATGTCAGAGCATGGGGAGCATGTACAGATGAGAAAGGGAAAGAGAACAAATGGGGCTGGAGGAAAGGAGGAAGTTTGATGTAGTAGAATGCAGTGTATAATGGCAGCAGTGGTATAAGCAATGAGACTAGAAGACAGGGCCAAAGAAGAGTCTACACCAAGAAACAGAGCTTTTATCCTGAGACTAGCGGAAAGAATTGAAGACTTAGTTTATGTTTATTAATGAGAGTGACATGGCCAGATCTGCGTTTTACAGAGATCGCTCTGGCAATCTCCTGACTAGGAGGTCAGTGAGGAAATGTGCGGTAATATAGGTGAGAAATGCTGGTGACCTGAGCTTAAGTGTACACAGAGTTCAGAGGCACTGGGGGTGGGAAGGAGTGGGTAGGTTTGGGAGATGTTTGGGAGGTAGAATCAACAGAACTTGGTGACTGATTGGGTGGACTGGGAATGAGGAAGTGAGTCTTGTGAAAAATGAGATTCTGATTTCTGACTTGGATAATTGGGTAAATGATGCTACTATTCACAGGGATGCGGAATACTGGAACAGCAAATGTTTAGAGTTGGGGATGTATTGAGTGTGAGATGTGTGTAGGATTTCAAGAGAAGTGCAGTATTCAGTTGGATCTTGAGTTTGGGAGAGAAGTCTAGGCCAGACCTATGACTGTGGGAGTGGATAAGATGGTTGAAAGGATATGTATGTAGATAGCCTGGGCAACATAGGGAGACCCTATTTCTATGAAAAAAAAATTTAAATTAGCTGGGCATGGTGATACATGCCTGTGGTTCCAGCTACTCAGGAGGCTGATGGGGGAGGATCGCTTTGGCCCCAGAAGTCAAGGCTAGAGTGAGCTGTGATCATGCCACTGTACAGCCTGGGCAACAGAGCAAGACCCTGTCTGTCTGTCTGTCTGTTTATCTCCCTCTCCCTCCCCTACCACACACATGAATATGTAGAGAGTGAGAAGAGATTTCTCCAATTTAGGCATAAAATAGCAATTTGACTATGAATACAACCATATAGAGCAAAATGTGTATATTTATCTTGTTACATAAATAAATGCAGATGAAGAACTGTGCCTGCCCACAAACACCATTGCACATATGCCTGTGCACTTATGTATACACGCTGTGTATGGAGAGGTGCTAATGAACATCAGCAGTGTGTGCTGGATAGTGAGCCACATGAAACATTAGGCATTCAAGGTAATAATTCCCTTCCCTAATAATTCACACAAGACGTGTTGCCCAACAGCAGGAACGAGGCTTAAGGATACTGATCCATATGTTGAAAAGAGAAATTTGTAGCCCATATAAATGTTACAACTAATCTAGCCAACAGAGAGCACTAATGTTTCTCATCTTCCCCCATCCCCCTTTTTTTATGTCTTAGATACATATGGAAAACTCTTTCTCCTCAATTCTGTGGGTCAAGAGATGTCCCGCTGCAAGACATCCATTCGGCGTGGTCAACCAAATCCTGTCTATAAGGAGACCTTTGTTTTCCAGGTGGCCCTCTTTCAGCTGTCTGATGTCACGTTGATGATTTCCGTTTATAACAGGCGTACTATGAAGCGTAAAGAGATGATTGGCTGGATTGCCCTTGGTCAGAACAGCAGTGGAGAGGAGGAGCAAGATCACTGGGAGGAGATGAAGGAGACCAAAGGCCAGCAGATCTGCAGATGGCACGCTTTGCTGGAATCCTAGGTTTGCTTACCTGCATTTGTGTGCTGTGTCCACCTTGGTTACCTGTGTTGCTGTCTACTGACACCAAATCAGTGTGTCCTGGCAAGGGTTTCAGGCTTTCAAAAACAGAATTCACTGACCCCTAGGACATTGTGAGTGGGAGTTTTGGGTTTCTCAGTGGTTTGATTTGGATTTAAATATTGTCATTTAAAAAACCCACAAACACAGTGAAGTGTCCATATGGAAAGTGTTATATCACAGTGAAGACCACTGATGAGTTAATTTGTGCCAATAGATCATCAAGTTTTGGTTCAGGGTATGGGGTGAAGCTTCTCCTGCTGTCTTTGTTTGCTTGAAGAGTAACCTGAGATTGCAAGGGAGCTGTTAGATGTTACCATTTGCAACCATTTACGTGGATGAATCAGAATTTTCTTAATATGGTACAAAAAAACCTCTAAAATATAGAAATGAATCGGATGCTGAAGCTCATAGAAGAATCTAACTTTTATCCGTAAACGCTTATTTCACATTTTTCTCTTTATCAAAGAAATCTGAGCAATTGCTCAGTCACTTATTTACCTAACAAGTAAATATTATAAATTTGCACTTATAAAATAAATTTGTATTAATTAAATACCTCTTTTATCTTATATTTTATGGTTTCTATGAGATTTGGTTAAATGAATCATTTTGAAGCAAGAAAAGAATTTGAAAACTACTGTTTTAAGACAACTTATCTCCTTTTGAATATGTAAGATTTCAAACTTGTAACTTTTAAGGTTTTTATGCTGTCTTTCTCAGCCAATCAGTTCTTCCAGAATAAGAAGAATACAAACAACAACGAAAAAAAACAAGACTATTTCAGTCACAGATTTATTGATTTTTCTGATTCTGGTGTTCTTTTGGATTATACTTTTTCTATATTCAATTATATATACTCATATTAATATTTTGAATGTACTGCATGTAAACCATGCTCTTTTTAAATTGAGTATTTTCCATCACTAGAGCATAGCAAATTGCACACAGTGGGTCTTTAATAAATATCGATTTGACTGACTCTTCCAAGTGAACATGTTATGACACCTGTGAGTGAACAATTATTTTCAGCTTGTGTGGAATGACATAAAATTTTTCTTTGAGCATTTGAAGTGCCTGTAACTGTCATTATGTATGGCATTTGCAGCACCATATATTAGTCACTAGTTGCAATCTGGGCATGTGCCATTGAGAACACTGATTTTGTATGGTTATGAGCATGGGATTTTACTTACTACTTACTTTTACATGTTTATGCAGTGCATGTTTATTTTCCTTATTCTTAGGCCTGGGCCCTTAATTTCAATTACTTACAATTGGCAGTAATAAAAAAATAGGGAAAGAGTATATGTACATTTAACCCTGTGCTCAATGTGCAGCTCTTCTGAGCAATTGCTCAGTCACTTATTTTTAGTTTCTGTGTTTCATTGTGGACTTTTTCCTGTCTGTGGGAAGAGTGATAGCTAGCGATGGCTGTGTACAGTTAAAAACACACAACTCCTCCTCAGCACCACATTTTGACAGATTGTAAGCGTAGGCTGTAACACTTGAAGAACATATTTATTCCTTAGAGTGTGTAATGGTTATCCTGACAAGACCAGACTAGGGCATAGGATAACTCTACTATGCTTTCAGGGTTCAGTCTTTGAATGAAATGATTTCATACAGAAGAATGAAAATTTTCCAAATAAATTAATACCTTAAATACTTTTCAGGTCATGGGAATTTCATATATACGACTGCTCAGTTATTAGGAATAAGTAATAAAACCATGCTCCTGTGGGTTTTTTACCCTACCTTTCTTTGGGAGACCTCAGAGTGCTTTTCCAGCATTATATCCATTAACTGCTGAGTGGTCTTTGCAGTGTGGCTAAGTCATTGAGTAGAACTGAGTGCGATTGATTAAGTAGCGGCACAGAGAATTGGCTTTTCACATCTCTTACTCTTTATGCCTTGTGTTTAAAGGGAAGTAGAACAGCCTCGCTATGCTTTCCTTTATGCAGTAACATAATAGCAGCATTCATTTGAAAATTTACATTTGAAAAAATCTGTATATATTGTACAGACAGCCCTGAATTTTTCCCTCTCATATTTCCCTACTCTACATGCTGCTGCATCCTTGTTTCATGATACCTAATAATCAATCAGCTATACTTCATTTTCTGTTCCCAAGACCCACCCATGCTTAGGGTTTTCTGCTGGTGCAGTGAAGATATTGGTGTGCCTCATCTGCCTTCCAATGGTCTGCTTATGATACAGTTTACAGGAAGGTGCAGCATTTTAAGGGAAGGAATGCCTGAAAAGCATTTTTTATTTTTATAATTTTACTGTGTTGGTGCTACTCACCAGATAGGATGCGTGTACATCTTGAATATACATCAACATTCACCTTCAGCTGATTGTATAAGTCTAACATGCTGAAGACAAGATACATTATAATATGTGGCTGATTTTTTTACCTTGATTTGAAATTCTAGTTTAGTAAGATCTTTTGATTTTGTGCACTTACACTCCCTTATTTTCTTGGCAAAGTCTAGACATAAATGCATTTAACATGTTTTTCACTTGAGCTTTTACATTTGGTTTTCAAAAGAGTTATGAAAGATAATTAGTTGGTTCTGCAGTGGAAAAAGCCTGCTTTTGCCTGTTTCTTCTAGCTAATGATTAGTATCTCACTGGGACATGTGACATCGACACAGCACTGGTTTTTGTTGCATGAGTAGGTCTTTCGGCGATTTTGCCTGAAGAGCATGCTTTCAAAATAATATTGTTAAGAGTAAATGATGCTCTGGGTTTATGGAAATCTGCTTTATAGTGTGCCTTCTTTTCTGGTGTGAGTTTGCACTGAATTGAGAAATGCTGGTTTCACCAATTATGGTGGTGGCTGTTGTACTCCCTGCTCCTCTCTGACTATTGTTGAATTTTTAAATGGACCATTCACCAGGCAGCCAAACACCTGCTCTCCGTTCCCTCTTCTTCACTGGCTCCCAGTGTGATGCATAGTTGTTTTGGACTCTGTTTTAGCTGATGCTGCATAACTGTTGGAGGTGGGGGTGTCTTGCCTTCCCTAACATAAGAAGAATTTGCAATGCCTTTGGATGTGTTATACTTGGCATTCCACCCGCATGAAATCTGGGAAAGAATCATCACCATGTTTGTGAGAGGGAAAAGAGTATGTTATTGCATAGCCATTCACCTTAGGCACTATTAATTCTGACATCCTTCACTGACAATTAAATGACATCAAATGTCAATATTCTCCATAGTCTTAGGTGCTAGTGAGGCCGAAACACAGCTTCTGGCTTTTCAATGTGTAGATTTCATAATATTTTGTGAATTATTGTTACCTCTTGGGCAGTCATTGTGCTTTAGATGATCTTATTGGAGAACCAAAATTCTTTTCTTTCCAGATGAAGTACTGTTTAAGTAGAAACTAGCATCAGGTTAAATAAAAGTGCTTCTCTGATATCCACCAATTTGATTTAATTGATGATTCAGTGTGGACATCTCTGCAGGTTTCCTAAAAACCTGGCTATCCTTTTGCAGCAGAGGACTTAGTATATTAGAAGCAGAAAAGTGAGTAGGAAAGGATTATTTGTAAATGTCATAAAACCAGATGGAGGCATATTCTTTACAGATAAAGATACAGGATTAGAACACGCGTGTGGTGTCTCCTTTTACTTTTGAGGAAACTGTGGTTAAAGAACATTCCATTCTATTTAAGACCAAAGCAAATGATAGATAATCCTGAAATGGCAAAAGTATTTTTGTCTCAAAAATTGTTCATTTAGGCAAAGCCATTTGCAACAGAATAAAAACCAAAAGGTTATATGGCATGCCTATGGAAAAAGTAAAGAATAAATAAATATGTTGGATGCATTTAGCATCCTCCAGGGAGTAGTATGCAAGGAGAGTAAACTAATAAGCCAAAAGACATTTCAACTAGCTATCACATTTCTAAAAATTATAGAATTCTGAAAAATATTTAAAGATGAAAGAAATGAAACTGTTCTAAAACAATGAGATTGGCATAGCGCAGCGAAGGTGGCACAAACTGTGATCTTAGCCTGGGTTTACATGAAACTGCTGTGTGGCCTTAAGAAAATTACTTAGCCAGCCTGTGTCCTGGTTTCTTCAACTGGAAAATGGAAATAATACCTACCTCATTAGGTGTCTTAAAAGATATCAGTGAAATCACAGATGTAATGTGCCTACCATAGAGCCTGGCATGTAGTTAGCATTCCATAGTTCCTCCTCACAGTCATACTTGAAAAAGAAAATATTGAAGGGGTATCTTCTCTTTCTAGCAAAAGTTATTATAACAGTCGAGAAAAATGAAAACCAATTTTCAGATAACTGTAAAAAGGAGAGGCTCATGAAGCCAGGCTGGATTTGTAAATAAAGAGGCTTCGTCAGGACAGCCTAATCAGAGATACGCCTGGTATGTGGAGGAAACTGAGCCTTAATCGCGTCCAACTGTGGTATAACCAAGTCTTTGCATTTATCTCCTTAGTTTGGAGGAAGTGCAGAACCTTGATGGTTTGTGTGTACCTCTTGCTCGATCACACACAAGGCCTCTCCTTGTCCCCAGCTCCCCTATTCATACATGGACAAGGCACCTTGTTGCCATCATCAAAAGAGTTGGTGATAATGGCAGTTTGACTACATATTTCAGCTTCGATCCAAAAAAGTGACATATATGATGTGATATTATACTGACACTCTTTAAAAAAGGGATAACACTTTCTTTAAAACCTATATTATATGTGCATTTTATATTCTGATAGGCAAACATTTTAAAATAGTCTGATAACACAGCTCTCAAACTTAACTGACTGGAATGCTCTATTCAGAACAAATTACTTATCACTGTTTCCCTTATGAGATCATAATGAAAGAAATTCTATCGGTTGATACTTCTTTTTAAAATGGTTTTTAAGAGTGACTTGTTGATATAATAGCATGGTCACTATTGTGAACTTAAGTGACTTAAATCTTGAGTAAAGAGGAGAGTTTCTGGAGAATTTAGAAAAAATCTTTGTTGACATTTAATCTAGAGAAGTCTTCAGGACAAACCGCTTCAAGTTTAGTGTAACCGGGTGCCACAAATCAGTCACGTGCTACTTGTGGTTTTAAACAGAACATGATTCTGGGATGGGGAAGTTCGAGGCTACACTCCTAATATCATCAGATTGCCAAAGACTGTTTTGAGTCCTAGGTATCCCAATTAAGGAGAAACATGAAGACATTGAAGAATCACTTAGCCTAGGGCTTTTAGTAGAGAATAATTAAACATGTAGGGAAGGTAAAGGAGTTAGATGGGAGGGGAGAAGGCTGTGGAGTGATTTCTGGTAACAATGATCCAGAAGTTCTGACCAGGGGGATGGTGCACACTTTCTCTTCTTGACCACACGGATAGATTTCAGAGCATCCCCCCTAAATCGAGTCTGGAGAATTATGTCAAGGTTGTTTCTCATTAATTCAAATTGTATTCATTGCCTAGCACTATGCTGTTTGGGGTGGCACAGAACTTAAAATCATAGATTTCAGATAGATAGATTTCAGAGCATCCCCCTAAATCGAGTCTAGAGAATTATGTCAAGGTGGTTTCTCATTAATTCAAAATGTATTCATTGTCTAGAACTGTGCTATTTGGGCTGGCACAGAACTGAAAATCTCTATGGAGTGCTATGAGTACACATTGAAGCCATTAGTCATCATTGTACAATAATGCTTACCAACATACAATTGTTAAGTTAGTCTAATATACACCATAAAAAGTAGAGTTCCTTGTTATGAGTATTGGAAGAAGGTGAAACATGTTGGCTGAATTTATTGGGGCAAATGTCTAGGAAGCCTTGGACTGGCAGTGAGCCTTGGTTGCATTATAGGGGCAATTGCCAAGGTGGGGATGGGGGTAGGGAGTCACAGAATCATCATCTTTGGAAATTTTTTAAAGTAGAAAATTGTGCTTGAATCTTGGTTCTGTCTAAAGAAGAATGGAAGGGCACCCAGGAATATACCCTTTATAAAGTTCCTTCTAAGTCTAATATTTATGTGTAACGTTAAAAAAGAATCAACAATAATAACACTCCAGGCCTGTCCTCTTCCACTGTGGATATTTTTTCCACATTGATTTTTCTCTGCATCACAGAAAGTTTTCTCTGAAGAGTTCCTACTTCGGTTCTGTTTAGGGCTTTGGGGATGCCTGCAGGCTCAGGGGGAGTTTCCTCGCCTATGGTGCTTCCACTGTTTTTGTTTCCCTTGGGTCACAAAACAGTATCCTAGACACATAGACAATAATCACCTTATTTATATCCACTGTGGAACCTGTGAAACAGCTCGAGGCTTTATGGAACAAGCTCATAGACAGACATGGAGGTCTGAGGTCCTTCTTAGAATGAAGCTGCTCAATCACTGACTGCTTTCCACTAATGCTGCCTTAAGGTTTCTCTGGGAGAGTTTATACTTCATGCCTTTGAGTGACAGTGTTAACTGTTTTGAGGACGATGAGAAGGCTGACTTCCCATTGTATTACCATATTTATGCATTACTTTTATTTATTTCATTTCCCCTGGAAGTATCTGGTTGCTGCTTTTTTGTTTTAGTTTATACAAAACTTATTCATCCAAAAAGACCTTTCTAGGTTGGGCATGGTGGCTCATGCCTGGAATCCCAGCACTTTGAGAGGCCAAGATGGGAGAACAGCTTGTGTCCAGGATTTATAGACTAGCCTGGGAAACATAGTGAGATCTCATCTCTACAAAATATCAAAAATTTGCCGGGTGTGGTGGTGTGCACCCATAGTTCCAGCTACTCAGGAGGCTGAGGTGTGAGGATCACTTGAACCTGTGAGGTCGAGGCGGCAGTGAGCTATGATCATGCCACTGCATTCAGCCTGGATAGCAGAGTGAGACTCTGTCTCAAAAAAAAAAAAAAAAAAAAAAAAACTTTATTAAGTGTAAATGTTTCAGAATTGAGTTGGAGAAAAGCAGATGGATAAAATGGTTTAAGTTCAACAATATATTTTTTGTTTCTAAATATTCTTTTTAAAGACTAGATTCTGATAAGAAATCCAGGTAAACAATCTTATTAACCTTGACTTTTTGGCTTAATGTATTTCAGTAATTGTCTCTTTCCCACTTTGACAGGCAGAGGATTTAGGGAAAGTGAAAGTTATTGCCCTGTCTCTAATTAAGAAATAGATACACTTGTTTGTCAGTCTATGCTTCCATTCAAAATAAGTGCATACATTTTGTATGTGGAGAAGAAATGCAGTGTTCCATTTCAGCAGTGAAAAGAGTTATAGTATCAAATGGGATATTTAGTATTCTTGACTTTTATAATTAAATGCTGAATGATGTGCAAGTCAGTAAGTTAGAACCTGGAATGCTAAGTCTGTACAAACTTGACACATTTCTTCCAAGCTCTGTGTTTTAATAGTCAAAGGCATTGCTACCTTTTGCTTTTTGAAAGAATGAAATGGAAACAGTAGCTGCTAGATAAAGAGGTGACAATCGAAACAAAGAGCCCTGCTTACTGCTGTGTGACTACAACTAGTCTTAAAAACTGAATACATTTGCAGCAACCTTATGAAACAGGTAAAGGTCAACACTGGGAGTGTCCCTACCTTGGCAGATGGAACAATACTTTTTCTCTAGACTCAGCCGATTTTTAAAGCAGGAGTTTTCCAATGGATTTGTTGCTTATAATTCTACTAAACATGTCTTAGTCCATGCAAATTAACTCAAAATCTTTGATGGCCTAAAAATTCTTACTGAAAGCAAGTTTTTAGTGTTTCCCAGTTCATAGTTTATACTAAAAAAGTGTACATATCCTGTTTAATAAAGACCTTGATGTTTGAGAATATCAGAAGTCTGCCAGTAAAAACTCTGATGGAGGAACATGTACAATAAAAGATGTTTTTATGTAAGTTATTTTAAGATAGTTGCATTTTAGGGTCATGTTTCTTTGTTGAGAGTATTTCTTTGTCAAGTTCCTTATAGCCAATGCCTTGACCAAAGCTTACTGATTTTGCTACATTTCCTTGTGGGTTATAATAATCTTTATAATTCACAACTCTACCAAATTATAATACAGTTTTTTATTATGCCACCATACAAATGCAGCTGCAAATTGGATTTAATTGTGAAATACAAAGTCCTTTCCAGAATTTTAAAACCTAATTTCAATATAGATTTTAAGTTTGTGAACAAGAAATTAGGATTTGCATACCTTCTTATGACAGAGGTTTCTCTTATAATATTTTCTGTTATAGTATTGGGATAAGATTTGACCTGTATTTTCAGGTAAAAGCTGGTCTTTGAGAGCTACTTTTTAAGAAATTAATAAATTTTCTCTTTTAGAGTTTTAGGTTCACAACAAAACGGATCATAAAATATAGAGAGTTCTCATTATACTCCACACACAATCCTCTCTCCCATGAACATTTTGAACACCACACTGGTGTATTTGTTACAGTTGACAAACCTCCACTGAATATCATTATCACCCAAAGTGCATAGTTCTTATTAAGGTTCATTCCTGGTGTTGTGTATTTTATGGGTTATGACCAATGTACAATGACATATATTCATTATTGTAGTATCATACAGAGGATTTTCACTGCCCTAAAAAATCCTCTGCGCTCTGCCTATTCATTCCTCCCTCCCACCTAAGCCCTGGCAACAACTGGTCCTCGTACTGTCCCTATAGTTTGCCTTTTCCAGAGTGTCATATAGTATGTAGTCTTTTCAGATTGGCTTTCTTTCACTTAGGGATGGTCTTGTAAGTTTTCATGTCTTTTTATAGCTTGATACTTCATTTCTTTTAAGTGCTGAATAATATTTCATTGTCTGGTTGTATCATCGTTTATGACCTATTTGCTTTTATTTCTAGTTTCAGTTGCTCTGGCAAATTTTATTAATGTGTGTGCTCTCAGGAGAAGCTTCATATACTTTATATGATCCATCAAATAAAATTATGTGGCAACTTCTAGTCTAGAATAAACTTCACCTATATGATACTGAGCTTGTTTACATTGGAGAAGATTATGAAAAAAATCTCATAATTTCTTAATTTACGTTACTCTATCTGTGAGCTTTTCCTCCATTAGAATCTAAACAGAAAGTCCTGAAGGTTTCTAAATTTGTGATCCCAAATTTAGTGACTCTCTGTGTCTTCTTTTGTTGAGCAATAAATTAAATATCTGTTGATAAAAGTGCTGATTATGTTATTACTGATTCATGAGAGAAAGTCACTGTCTGTTGCTAGTTTATATGACTTTACATTTACCACTCCTGCCAAGAGAAATGGAAGCTTTGTGATTGTGCCCCGTCATAGTCAATTGTACAAATCAATTAAAAATTGTATGTAAGCATATGGATCACACAGCAGCTGTGAATTCTGAATGAAAAGATAACCCATGTACAGGTTGCAGGAAAAAGTAGATTGGTGTTGGAAAGATAACACTGATAGTCATACTGGGTGAGTGGGGAGGCTTAACCAATGATCCGTATCTTAGAAACATTTTGAGATTATTTATATGTCTTCGGACTACCCTTTGCTTTGTCGCCGCAGCAACTTGCAGAACCTGGCATTATTGAAGGTATAGTTAGTTGTGTAAAGAATATTGGATTAAGATAGATGAGGCCTGTGTTCTGATATCAAGTCTTCCACTAATGAGCTCTAAAACAAATGTCAAATCACAATTTCTTCATTGTTGCATCTATTAGATGGGAATAGTAATACTCTTTTACCTATTTTTACCAGGTGGTTGTAGGAACAGGATTCATTCATTCCTTCATTAATGCAAGGAACACTTTGAGACCCCACTACATATCAGTGCCATAAGTATGACAAGGTGATAGATGGAAAGACATTTTGCAGAATTTTTGAGACTTGCAGTGTTTTTGAAGACTACAGGATAGTTTGTTATTTTTATATTAAGGTCATATGAACTCTTTATGTTGACATATCGAAGTAATTGACACTTTTAGAGCTCTGCCAATCAATGGCCCATATTTATAGAATGTCAGTAATTTGAATTTAAGTTATAGTATAATGGTCTTTAGCTGTTCTGTCTCTGAGAGGATAGAAATAAAGTATTAGGTCCTAATTTTTTTTCAAACACTGATCATACAGCAAATTATAAATCCATGTTTTCAGCAGGTTCACCAACCTTTGAGTTGAATGCAAACCTTTCTTTAGAACAATCTAACTTTGAGTACAGGCAAAGTATTAAATGGAATAGCTTTTCCTCCCCCACAAAGTGGATTTGAATACAGTACTTAGAAAAATTCTTACCCTGCCAAAAAAGGTCCCTCAATCCACTTTATTGTTTTTCTTTTGAAGAATCAGTCTTGTTCATCTCTCTCCTCCCAAGTGACTTTCCTCACTCACATAATCATTTTCTTTATAAATGCCCTTTTATTATCTCCAGAAAAAAGTAAAGATTTAAAAAATCATTTTTAAGGTACATTCAAGATTTCATAGCAATATTTTATTTGTGTTCACAGTGCAAGATAAATCTGACGCTTTCTCAATTTTTTTTGGTCTTCATATGGCATCTGAAACAGTTGTTCACATTCACACATTTATGTTTCACCATATGCATACTGTGTGCAGCTCTGTTGTTTTAAAATATTTTATTGGTTTTCCTTTATATCTCAACTTTTGATGGGTGTCCTTGAAGAACTTTCATGAAAAAAATGTTAATGTGAATGATTCATTCATTTTGAACATATGTAGCTATTTCAGGAGATTTTCAGGAGATTTTACCCTACATGGAGTACACTGTTCTTAGCAGGGAATGTGCTTTATATTACTATTCTACTCACAGCTGGATGCTGCAGATGTGATTAACATTGTAAGCATGTACTTTTTCTATTCTATGCTTACTTTAATACATTATTTATATGTACTAGACTGCTGAGTTTTGGTGGTTGTCAAAGGTAGTTAGTTTCATAAATTTCACTTTGGCAGATAGTTAAGTATAACATGGTTTAGTATAAAATCTGTCTTCCTGTAGATTTCTAGGTCACTAGAAGAATTTCTTGGCAAATTGATTGTTGAAGGCCAGTTCTGTTGTAAGATGGAAGCCCCCCGGCCCTCTCCCAGTGTTTCATTGGCATTTTTAGAGCTGGATGCTGTTATAGTTCCTCCTCTAGTTTTCCAGTAGAGAATTCCTATGTGGTCCAGAGGTTCAAGAGAGAGAAAACATTTTTTTCTCTCAAAAGAATTGAACCTTCATTTTAGAAATGTCTGACAATCTTCAGAACATTCCATGTGGGTGTCCTTGTGTTTCTCATAGTATGACTTATTGATTCATGGTGTCTCTTATTAAAGAAGCACGAATGTATCTCTAGCTGTTACCAGAACAAACAGCTGTAGAATGTAATGACCCATCCCATTTCTAAATTGACTTCTATCAGTGGATAATTTGTGTATAAGAAAAGGTGTGGAAATTTTTTAATTGTTAAAAACTAGAATACGTTTCTACCTTTTGTAGTCTTCAAGATTTCATAACAATGGTTTTAATGTATTACTATTCTATTATGTATTGTGTTTAAACAAGATCAATCAGTGAAATATTTAATGTCAATACTTTGTTAGAAACGCCCTTTGAAAATGTTAGAAAATGTAAAACTTTACCTGTGACAAAGAATAAATTCATGATTAGAAGAATTATGCTGTGTTTTTTGTGCAAATAATACTTAAGGCAGATGTTCAGTCTCACAGTGATTTTGGAAAGCATATTTTATGCAGTCTAAACACTATTTCTGTATTAGATATTTAAATGCATGAGGATAAATTCTAATTGCTTTTTGTTTAAAACAGAAACATAGAAGAAGCATTAGCCCCAGTTTGTATAAAATGTCTGCTGCAACTGAATTCATGATAGTTCATGAAAACTGAAAATCATTCCAATTTTGTAAAACTGCTGCTACTGGTTTTATCAATAAAGTTTTAGCAGATGGCTTATATGTACATGTGTGAAAATTTTTTATGTTAAAAAAAGATACAGTTTTGCAGCATCAACATGCAAATTTTATGGGCCTGAATGATATTGCTTATTTTAGTATATACAAAAACCATTAACTTCAAAACCATACCAACTGCAGACGTATGTTAGAACTATTTGGTTTGAGGGTGCTGTAGGCTTGCATGGTGAACATATATCAGTTCAATTGCTGACTCGAAGAACATCTGGTAAGTAAGGAGGTATATAAAGGTAAGGATCACCTGAATCAACTAAATTGCATCTAAAGAAGATTCTGAGAAGGCAAAATGCAAAGGTAGGTCTTTGTATACAAAAGTGTATGTAATTCTTTATTAGATAAGCTCATGTCCAGAACATTTTCCCATCTATGAATACCCAGTTCTCCTAAGTTTGCAAGGCTCAGATGCAACAAGCTAGAAGGAGAGGGAGCTGAGCTATTATATTCAGACACTTACATAGCACTCAAAACATGGCCGGCATCCCCCAAACAGAAAAGATTAGAGAAAAAAATTCTATAGATGTTTCAGTGACAATTTTCAAACAATTAAAAAATTTGATATTAGTTGAGGCAATGCTACCTATTGTAATAACCCAAAATGTCAGTTGATTCACATAAGAAAGGTTTATTTTTCCCTAATCTGGGATGTTTTTGAACAATCAGCTTTCTTCCTAGCAGTATTTTAGAGACTGAGGCTCCTTTTGTGATCTGGTTGTTCAGATTCCTTAGGGACTTTGAAAGAATGTATTGCCACGCAAATGGGGGAGGAAAAAAAGACCCGAGAATCGAATGTGTTTTAAGGGACAGGCTTACAGGTGGTGCTCTTCACTTCTGCCCAAACTCCATTGGCTGGAACTAGTCCAGTGGCTCCACCTAAATTTAAAAACGCTGGGAATCGTAGTTTATTTGTATACCCAAGAAAATGAAACAGTATTGGTAAGACTCTCAGAGGTCAGTATCTGGCATACTTAAAAAATTATTTGATTTTTTATTAATTTTTTATCTCTCTTTATCTCTCTCGCGCGCACTGGCGACCCGTGGGGCCCCTCTGCTGGGAATCTCCTGGTCTGTGAGAAACGAAAATTAGTCTGAAAGTGTGGCGTCCTCTCGTTCTCTGTGCTTTCACTGGGAGCCACAATCCTGAGCTGCTAGCGATCAGCCATCTTGGCTCTCTCTCCAAGAGAGAGCTCAATAAAAAATAAATAGTCAATAAAAAATTGACTATCTTGTGTAGCATTTTATTGATAAGTCAAATAAGTCAAATCACACTGTATGTATTATAAGCTTCATAGTCTCCTTACTGTTTTCCTGGGGTTGCTCTAGAAAGATTCAGAAATATGGCTCAAGGGGAAGCTTGGGTGACATTTCACAGTGCTGATAAATTTTAATGTGCATTCCACTACATAATAAAACACCTGATTCTTTTCAGCTAACAGATAAGAAGTAGGAGACAGAATTGGCATTATATCTGTGGTCATCTCAAGGAGGGACAAGATTGAGTGGTGAGAAGATTGGAATTTGGATACATTCTAAGGTAGATTGTATGGAATTTAGCATTTTAAAATCCAAAATTGTTTAGTGAAAGATTTTAATCTTACAAGGAGAATTGCAGAATTTATTGAATTATATCTGAAACATAAATAACCCAGTCAAGATTAAAATCGTACCTGTTTTCTAATTCCAGTTATGCCATTAAACAATTCTGTGATCTTGCATTACCTTGACCTTTCTTTTCATGTCTTCCAACATTTGTTATATCTTGAGGTAGTCCCAGAGGAAGAGGGCATTTGACAGTTATTTGGTGAGTTAAACTGACAATAGAAAAGATTTCCTAGTCTATTCAGATAAAGTATAACACTAGACATACCGTCCATACTGGTCAAATTAGCTAGATGCTCCCAAATGCATTTTTTTTTCTCCATAGAGATACAGCATGTGATTATGGAGGCTGATTTTACCTGAGGTAGAGGAGTATTTTAAGGAAAAATGAAACAGTTCATCTCAGAGGAATCACAACCACTTTGGAGGATGGAAAGACGAGAATTAGGAAATACATAAATAACTTTAGGTGAGTATTTCCCAATGCTATTAAAATGCAGGTAGTGACCTTTAACATGTTTGGAAAAGGAAAAAAAAAAAGTCGCTTTATAAATACAATGTCTCATTAAGGGAAGAAAATTGTTTTCTGTATAATAGGCTTTCCCCCAGCCCCCTCTTCTGTTTGAGTATCTTTAAAGACAGCAACTAGTGGCTGCCTTCAAGGTTAGTGTAAGTTCATGAACTGATAGCTGTGTAGCTAAGGTAAAAACAGGGGCCTCAAAACAGGTAGGGTGGATTCATCTATTTCCATGTGTTCTTGATTACTTTTGATGTACCAGACACTGTGTGCTAGACACTAGGGACACGGCATTAACCAGGTGAACTAGCTTAAAGTCTGGTGTGATGAATATTGTGAAATGGGATTGGTAGGCTGAATTGGGAATGTAATTAGGGGGCTAATGTAGTCAGTGGGAGGCTGTCAGAGGAAGCTGCTATGAGGAAGTGGTATTTAAGCTAAGACGTGAAAGCTGAGTAGGAGTAAGCCAGGTAAAAGGGAGGCACATTAAGAAAGAAGAAACAGTATGTACAAAATTTCTTAAGCAAGTGGGACCCTTCCCTATTCAAGGAAACTGAGAAAAGTCCAGCATGACTGGACCTTAAAGAGCAAGGAGAAGGGTGTCATGAGATGAGCTGGACGAGAAGGCAAGGCTGATTGACACTTCCCCTTATTCTAACTAAGAAGGAAGTAGCAGTGATGTATTTCTGGCTAGGACCATCTCCGGGATTTGAGGTACCCATCTGAAAGCCCCCTGCCATACCCAATAGCTGAAACTTTATCATCACATCTTCAAGACCCTGTGGCTTATTATTACTTCTTCAGACAGTTTGATTTTAGGTTACCAGCTTTTTAAATCTTAGGGCTAATAAACAGCGTACAGTAGGTGTTGAGAGAGCAAGCATGGGGCCCTGAGAGCTGTGGGCCGCTGGTGTAGCCCCTTCAGCCTCACAGAGTGCCAGCCACCACAGGAATCAATGTAGCACCACACAGCAACCTTGCCCTGGCTCCAAAGACAGCAACTTTTCTTTCTAATTGTTTCCCAGTAGTGCTCTCTTCCCTCTCTGGCATGACTCTACAGGGAACCAGGGATGTGGTGGATCTCTTCTTCAGTGTAATTCTCTCTGAAGACAGCCTTGGGCAACATTTCTGTACCAGACCTTTTGTCTTCTCTTCTTTAATTTGGCTTACTCGCTATCCAGATTGCACACTTTTGATGTTCTAATCATCTCCCATCCCCAAGAAAACAGCCCTATTTAACAACAACAACAACAAAAGCAACGTAAAACATAAAAACATAGCTGAGTGAGCTATGAGAAATTATGCAATCATCTGGGTAAATTTATACTGAAGTGTAAATGTACACTAAAGTATGCTAAAGTGCTAGAACATGCACATCTCTAGTCTCCTTTGTGAAAAATACCTTTGCTTTTGTGCATGTTCATTTTAAAGAAGTTTACAAGTTGGCCTGAGTTTTTAATTCGCTGTTGGATCAAAATGAAGACTTTCCGTGTGAAGGACATATTTTAGACCACGAGAACTTTTTTTTTTTTTTAATCTGAGGCACCCTGCCAGTAGGCAGCCACAGACAGCCAAAAGGAATTAGACTCCAGGCTGATTTTTTGGATTAGTTAGTATATCTCTCCTCAGAATCTATCAAGTGCTCAAACCGGCAGACACAAACACGAACACACTAGGGAGGAGAATCCCAGAGGCGGAAGATACTATATTGCTCATCCCCAAACGCCTCACCCCGGGTTACACCCACGAACTCATTCGGGTTTCCCTTCTCAGGGTCCTACTCTAAGGCGAGGAGTATCCCAGAGGAAGTGTCAGGGTCTTAAAAAAAAAACAAAACAAAACAAAAAACAAAAAACCACTGAGCCATACCCGCTGCTTCCTCAGCCGCTGCAAGTGCCGCCCCACCCCTCTTCTCCCCAAATCCGACCTCGGTAGGGGACACCAAACTACGGCTTGCAGAGAGTGACCTGCCAGGGGAGGCGCGGGGCCGCTCACCTGCCCCGGCGCGCGGCTCTCGCCCAGCCCCACCCCGTAGCCCACTCTGCCGGCCTCAACGTAGGCGAACGCAGCCCGGACCCCTCTGTCGGGGCTCTTTGTTCGCTGCCCCTCCGTGTTCCTGCTCTCCACCTTGCTCCGAGCAGCCCCCGCCAGCGCACTCGACCGACAGAAAAGTTGCTCCCGAGCTGTGGAGGGGCGTCATCGCCTCCTAGCAACGCTCCTAGCAACCGGGTAACATCTGCTCCCTCTGGTCCAATGCGAGCCGAGAACAGCTGCGCGCCCGCCTAGCGCTGCGAACCCGGAGTGAGAGGCGCTTCAGAGACTGGAGGGACGGACCTGCAGGAGCCAGGGCTGCCCGCCGAGCTGCAGTTGCCGCTGCTGCCGCTGTCAGCGCCCGACTGAAGAGTGACAGCCGCAAAAGCAGGAGTGAGCACCGAACCCCGCGCCTCTACCTAACAGGTGCATGCGCCGATCTGGTGAGTGGACCCAGCTCGCAAGGTATGTCTGGACTCCAGCCAGGTGCTTTCCTGCGAGGCTCGGAAGAGACTCCCTTCCTTGATGGGGAGGATAGGGACGTGCTCCGGGATCCCACCCCGCCCCCAGCCATTGAAGAGTGGCCAGCTGCTGGTCCCAAATGACCTGGTTTGATTTTTTAAATGTAAACCGTGGGGTTGGTTCTTGGGTGAAGATTCCCTGTCCATAGCTATTAGGCTAGTGTTCGGAAGTTTTCAGTTCTTGTTTTTCCGTTGACTTGGCTGCCTATGTCAGTCTAGGAGAGCTGGAAGCAGCAAGCGCCCATAGAGAGCCTGTGGTTAAAGCTCAAACGACATAGTGTAGTCTCGACTAATTGAATCAACACGTATTGATAGCAACATTCTTTTTAGGTCCTCTTCTGGAAAGGGTCCATTTGGCCAAGAGCAGCCTTTCACTGTTACTCAACCTTCTGAAAAGTAACCATAGTAACTCACCTCTCTTTTGATGGGATCCTCCTTATTGGCTGCCTATCTTCCTTTGGAAAGCGCATCTCTCTAAATATAGAAGATGATGAGATCCGTAAGCATACATTCATATAGAAAAGGTGCAGTTAAACACGGTCCTTTAAAGAAAAGCTGTCTTCAAAGAAAAAGTAGCATTTGGTGATTTCAATTCTTGTGAGAAAGAATGTGCATTCCAAAGAAAGACCGGCTTCTCTCTGTTTTAACTGCTGGTTGTTACTTTAGAGGGAATACTTCCTGAAATTATATAAAATCTGGCGTTAAAATTTAAGAATGATTCTGATTTTTTTAAAGAAAGAATCATCCTACCGATAATCTTCCAAAAATAATCTCCCACGTAAATAACTGGTAAGATGAGTTATTCAGTTATTTCTAAATTTCTTAGGATAGTTAAGATTCATTGTGTTTAAATTTAAATCTGGAGAACACTGAAGTGATTGTGTGTGTTTGAAGGTTTATCTGTCTATCTGGTCCAGACCAACCCCATCTCAAATATCTTAGATAGTATCCTCCTGCTGCAGGCTTTCTCCTGACTTGAGAACCAGTTCATGTCAGTGCAGTCCTGACTCGCCCGATGTTATTTGTGTCTGTCTCCTTGTTTCAAGATCTCAGGTAACCATTCATGAGCCTGAGGCTGTGAGAAATGCTTGCTGTGCAAAGGGGAACTCTCACCAGATTTTCTGAAGCTATTCTAGAAATACACTTTTCGGATTGATTCAGCGTTACCAGGTAATTGCTAGCTTAAAAGAAATTACTGTTAAAATATGTATCCAGAGAAATGAATGCTCATGTAGCATTACCATAACTTACAAGATCAATGTAAGGGATTGTTTATATAGATGGTTGCTGGGTAGAAGTCAATGGAGGTTTTCTGTAAAAAGGATATTTGTGGGCTGGCAGATTTTCCTCTCTAAGACCCATGTGAATAGGGTGGGCCAAATTAGTAGCCTGGCTCCAGGAACATGCCAAGCGGAAGCCTACTGAGCACACGAGTGCATGTTTGAATGAAGGAAGTGAAGAGAACTCTCCAAGTTGCAGAAAGAGATTATTGTGGTGTTTCAAATTTAATTTGCATAAGGTCATGATGATAGAAACCTATGAGGGTTCCACATTTTAAACTCAATTTTCAAGACTGAATGTGTCTTAAATGAGTGTTCAATCCTCCAGCATTATGTAGCTTTCACGTGTACTGTGCCCTTCCCATATAGGTAACCAGCCTAGAAAATTACAATCAAATTTATAAAAATATACCATGCTGCATTTTATCCCATTTCTTTCCTTCCTTTATAAAAATAAATGTTTCACAATTTTTATTCAGAAACCTATTTGAAAATTTTTTCTTGTCACTGGTACAGATTTATAAATACTCTGAGGCTTTAAGATTATTGGTCTCTATAGTCACTTATTTAAATATCTGTAGTTTAATAATTTTAAGCATTAAAAATTAGCATTTGAAGTGTCAAAAATGTTGGTTTTGTTAGCCCTTAGCACCATCCACCATTCTTCCTTCATCTATCATATACGGTGAGAAAAAACCCAATAATATTTAACGTCATCTGCCATGAGATGTGTACAGAGTTCCATTCATGCTATTAATCTGAGAAAAGTTTGAGTAAAGCAGCCACAATCATTGGTTCATGTAGATGCATTAGTTGTGTGATTAGTAATTTATACACAGCCTATCTCTTATGTCATATGCATACAAGTTGAAAAGTTGAAGATCATTCAATGCCCTTTAATTTATGTGAATCAGTTTGCCCTTTTGTTGAGACCACTGCCACAATGAAAAAGGCCAACAAAAGAGGTTCTTAAATTTTAATTTTGATTCTATCATAAATGTTTCATATGCAGAATATATCCTGTGCAACGTTGATAAACAGGTCTATTTGAAAAGTCATTCATCAGAAAAATTTATGGTGTTTAGCTTTGAATAAATAAAAATAAATCAAATGGTATACAAGTGCATTATAATATCCATTTTTTTCCTTTTTTTTTTTTTTGAGGTGGAGTTTCATTCTTGTTACCCAGGTTGGAGTGCAATGGCGCAATCTCGGCTCACCGCAACCTCCGCCTCCTGGGTTCAGGCAATTCTCCTGCCTCAGTCTCCTGAGTAGCTGGGATTACAGGCATGCGCCACCATGCCCAGCTAATTTTTTTTGTATTTTTAGTAGAGACGGGGTTTCACCATAGTGACCAGGATGATCTCGATCTCTTGACCTCGTGATCCACCCACCTCGGCCTCCCAAAGTGCTGGGATTACAGGTGTGAGCCACCGTGCCCGGCCAATATCCATCTTTAATCCTGGAGACAGTGGTGGTCCTAAGTTAGAGTGTGGCAAGAAAATCCACTTCTTTTTATTTAAGGATCTAGCCACCCTCATCAATTCGAACACCAGCTGCACTTGTTTATGTAATAGGTTATAAAGGGGGCATGCACTCAGGAGTATAAGATTTGGATAAGGCTGAGATAAAGCAGGTTAAAACTAAACCAAATTCTAATTTCAGTCTTTTTTACTCATATACTCTATTTGAAAGTTTTTAGGTATGTGTGAAAATCCTATGTTCAATTTTATGTCATATAAACTTCATGGAATTCAGAAGATGCCTTGATACACAGAGAGATGTTGAAAACTTTTATCGAGAAATTGAGACCCTTGTCTCCATACCTGGGCTCTCTACTGATGACTCAGGTCAGCTGGCATCCCAACAATAACTCTGAGCCAAGGAATCATCAGTTCAGATTGCTCTATTCCTCAAAGCAATATGTCTCAGAAACCTAGAAAAAGCTAAACTGCTAACTCTGAAGCAGAGATAGGAGTAAATTGACCGCAACCATTCAGCACTAAAGGAAGGATACCTTTGAGTTTTGGGAGGAGCCAGCCCTTGTCGATTCTTTTTTTCTTTTTAAGTTGTTTATCTAAATAGTGTTAATACATTAATGTTTACCCTTTGCAATCTAACGCAATTGTTTTTTATATTTTCCTTTTTCCTAATTAAATTTATACAAATAGGCTAATAACAGAACCATCCAATTTACTGCAGTAATTCTCAGCTGGAGAGAAGGGGTGGTGAAAGGGTATTACTGAAAAGCAGTAAGAGCTAAGCAGTGTCATACTCAATATTGTAAGATAGCCTTATATTTAGAAAACAAAAGAATGACAGAAAGTAAAGCGTAGCAAAAAGACTTTTGGTAGAAATACAAGAATTTTCTAAATATCAGTGGTGCTTAGAAGGACAGGAAGAACAAGTTTGAGGCTGGGAAGTCTGCTCTGCAGCTGTATTTCCGAGTGTATTTTATTTTTAAAGTGCATATGAAAAGGGAGCATGTGTAAAGAACAACAAGAAAAGTTGGAAATATTGTAAGGAGAGTCAAGACTCAAGAGCCTAGAACCTCAATTCTCTCCCCATGTGCTACTCGTTTTACTGCTTTATGGCTCATTTTCTCTCTCTCTAATGTGGGGGATGACTACAAGCTTAAGTCGATTTATTGAGCTTGAACATAACAGTTTCATGAAGCATCTATAGCTCTTTAAAAAACCTTTTATGTTCATGGGTACATGTGCAGGATTGTTACATGGGTGAATTTTGTCACTGGGGTTTGGGCTACAGATTATTTCACCATCCAGGTGAGGAGGTTTGTATCCTCACCCTCCTCCCTCAAGTAGGCCCCCCTGTGTTTGTTCTTTGTGTTCATGTGTACTCAATGTAACTCCCACTTATAATATAAATGAGAGCATGCAGCATTTGGCTTTCTGTTCATGTGTTAGTTCACTTAGGATAATGGCTTCCAGTTCCATCCATGTTGATGCAAAGGACATGATTTCATCCTTTTTTATGGCTGTGTAGTATGGCTGTGTGCCATACTATATGGAAGCACCTATAGCTCTTTAGAGAAAAGATACCCTGTGAATGAAAATTATTTCACCACTAGAGCAACTGCAGGTGAAACACAAATCAGGTACCATATGAGTGAGGGCAGAGAATCGCCCAACTCCAGGCAAATCCTTATGTGTTTTAAAGTGAGTAAAATTAATGATTAGTTCAGTCTTAAGTTTTTTACAGTCCTTCTGTGATAGCAGAAGCAACATTGGCCGGGATAGATGTTTTTGCTAATATACGCAAGCATAGAGTGGTGGTGGTGACATCACAGTGGAGGACAATGTGAGTGATACAGATCAGGTACTTTTAGAAAGGCCACTGTTATCCAAAGGTTAGGGATTAAAAGCCTTTTCTTTGAGTATCAGTCCTGAGTATTGCAGGAAGTTGTAATACCTCTCTAGCAGATCTCCAGGTATGGGTTTCTTGGAACCCATATACTGCAATCTGGTTCCAGGAAAACAATTTTTTTTTTTAAATTCATTTCTACTTTCCAAGGTAAAAGATGGGGTAAAAGGTAGCACCCTTCCTCAAAATTAGGAGTGCAGTTCTCGGCGGGGGGTGGAAAATCACAGTTTACCCAAGACAGGTCTCCTACATTTGGCCTCTATCATAAGCAGGGCCAGATCACGGCAGCAGTTGGCTTTGGTGCAGCATCTAAGGAAACCTAATGTGTTCTGTTTGGTTCAGAGACCATTACCACTGGAGCAGGATAGGCTTGTGGAACTGGTGGGGCTTTTCTCTACTATTCCATGCCTGTGCTTGGGGTTATCCCAAGGGACATGGATGCAATCTAATACCAGACAATGCTGCTAGTATCTTGAGAAACCTTCAATTCAGTGGCTCTCAGTATTCCTAGAAGTTCCTAAGAAAGTCTTCTAGGAGCTGCGATTTGTTGGTAATTCTAAACTGCCAGTAAAGCCAATATTGTGCTTGGGGTGGATGATAAATCTGAAGAAACAGATTGCTCCATTGATTCAGAGATAAAACCTGGCTCTGAGTTCTGCTACCATAAAGCATATTATCCAAAAAGGTGCTAGGCAAGGGGGTTATGAGAGAGAAGAAAGATGGCTGATGGAATATTGTTAAACATCAGTGGAGCCAAAGGTCTCCAGAAGGCATAGCATTATAGCCTTGCACTTATCTACCTTCTTGAATACACTCATGAATCCTTTATGCAACCCATGCTTAGCACTAAAGAGAGGATCAATGTCTTAGGTATAATATAATGCTGCTGAACAGGATATGTACTTATTTCAAAATGAAGTCACTGTAATAATAATATGTAACAGTTATTGAGCAGGCATTATGAGCACATGTGACAGGCACTAACTGCTTTTTAAACACCATCTCTTCTAATTCCTGTAAAACTCAATGAGTTTGATATTGTTCCCCTGTTTGACAGATAAAGAAAACTTAGGCTCTTTGAGGTTAAATATCTTGCCCAAATTCAGTAAGCAAATAAACTGTAAAGCTGGTATTTGAACTAATGCTGTCAGACAGAACTAGAAGGTTATGCTGAAGGATTTTAAACCATGCAGCAAGACTGCAGAATATGGTTAGCAGGGACAGATGGGGTAACTCTTTCTAAAAACTGTGGTCATGGTCCTTAAGGAAATATCTCCAGTAGCTTTGCCACCAGCAAAGCATTATTTAGATAGACAGGGACAATTGTACTTTTTAAGGCTTGTGCTAAGCTAACATATTACAAAGAAAAATCAGTAAGAGATTGTGAAGCTGACATGCATGATTTATCTGCAACACAAGTCAGTTGTTGATCTGAGATAGAATCCACCTTCTTTCTCCTCATTGATCAGCCTCCACCCCTTCTGTCTGTGGGTAAGATGTACACATCTAATAGGATGGTTTCAACTCTGTTTTTGCAATGTTTTGATTTAAATGTCTTGGGGAGAAATGAAAACCAAACTAAAATTAAGATATATTGAACTCATCACTTCTTCACCATGTCTCCAGCTTTTCAGTCTTGGACAAAGAATGGATTACTTAGACAGGAGTTGTTCTTTTTACTGTGGTCTGTTATCTCAAAGTGTTTGTAAATTAATTTGCTGATGTTTCCTTAATGTACTGTCCCTGGGCCACGTACCAAATGAAATCACTTGTACGATAATAGGATTTTAGTTTTCTGGAGGCAGAAACAGAACAATAAGAAAGAGCATTTGAGCAATCATTTGTAATTACATTTTAAACATTTATTTAAAGAATTATATATAAATTATATTGCTAGAGCTCTAATGACAGGAATGGTCACTCTGTTCTATAACTTGAAATTTGTTGCTTATTGATGTTTTATACTACCAGAGATGCTGAGCCTAGCACAGATATTTTATGTGCCCAGAGGATATAGCATTAGAAACAGCTTGAATATTCAAGCCAGCATTAGCCATTTCACTTTCAGAGATAAATTTAGGCTCAGTCTAATTCAGTTTTGTAATTTACATACTGTTCTGAGAGCTCAGAACACTCAGAATATGAAGACATAAAGTCATTTCATTTTTTTCTTGTCTATTTCATCACCTTTATTTGAATAATAGGCTGGGTTGAGTTTGGCCTTTTAGTTGCAGGAGAATGATAACAGATTTACACATGTTTACTGAATCAGAACAACGAAACTTCTGTGGATAGTCAGATCAGCTTTAATGAATTATCCAGATGATAACCTGTATGTTTCAAAAAACTTTTACCCCTCCTTCACCCAAATTACATGACCAGTGTTAATACATTTGGAGTTGTTATAGAATCCATACTACATTTTTTTTCAGCTTCACCATTTGCAATATCTTCTTACAGTTTTTTAACTGTCTGATTATAACCTAGTATCTTTGGGAGACAGGGTGGTGGAGTCTTTGAGTCAGACATAGGAGGCCAGGCTAGGCTTTGCTTCTATGTGGTAGATTTGTGACTATTGGCACTAATAAGGTTTACGATTTGATTGAGTGTTTACTATATGCTAGGCACAGTGCCAGTCACTTTTTATGAATTATTTCAATGATCCTTTGAGCCAGTGTTATTTCTATCCTTACTTTATAAATGAGATTTCTAGAGAGTTTATGTAATTTGCTTAAAGTCACACAAATAAGAAGCAGCAGAGCTGGAATTCAGACCATTTCCATCTGACTTCAAAACCCAAACTCATAGCCACATACCAGAGTGTAAATTACTGAAGTCTTCTGGGCTGTATTTTTCTCATCTGGACACTGAGGAGGCTGAACCAGGTGACAGATACATAGTTATCAGCTCTGAATTTTTTGATTTCTAATCCAGCCAAGCAAACAGATGTAGTAACTTATGTTTGCTATATATTTTAACCTAAAAGTGGCTAGAACCATCTTCCAAAATTGATACTGAAAACATTTCAAATAGCTAAACAGCTTGTGAAAAGGTAATTGTCAAGCTGATACCAGCTGTGAAGGCTTTTTAGCATTTTAACAACCCATGGGGGTATTTTTTAAGAACAATAAACTAAGTGGCTAAATGTGTTGCCCACGGAGGAGCTGAGGCTCAAATCTAGAATTCCTGAGAATTTTCTCTGCATTTCAGGATCTGATGCATTCAGTGTCTTAGGCTAACTGCTTGACAATAGGCAGACAATCTTTATGAAACTTGGAATCACTTGATATGATGTTTTTTGGTCTTGATCTGTTAAATCAGAATATCTTCCCTGGAGGTACACTTGGGAGCCAGAATTATAAGTTTCTTTGACATTTGATTCTCTAATCTGCCACCTGTCCTCCCTTGTATCACTCGTTAAAAGATTGTTAATTGGTCATAAATGCTGTAGACATTGCATTACATTGGAATTAAAAATGAGAAGATATTTTTAAAAGATACATATAAGAAAGTCATGTTTAGGGCTGGGCACGGTGGCTCAAGCCTGTAATCCCAGCACTTTGGCATGCTGAGGTGGGTGGATCACGAGGTCAAGAGATCGAGACCATCCTGGTCAACATGGTGAAACCCCGTCTCTACTAAAAATACAAAAAATTAGCTGGGCATGGTGGCACATGCCTGTAATCCCAGCTACTCAGGAGGCTGAGGCAGGAGAATTGCCTGAACCCAGGAGGCGGAGGTTGCGGTGAGCCGAGATCGCGCCATTGCACTCCAGCCTGGTTAACAAGAACAAAACTCTGTCTAAAAAAAAAAAAAGAAAGTCATGTTTGCTTATGATAGTTACTCTTGTTACTCTTCTCATTTTCTAGTCTTTCTTCACTGTCACCTACACTATAGTACTTCATTAGACCTTGTTAAAAACAATTAGTGACCTGCCCAGCTGTAATGCTAATAATAGCCATTGATGTGTCTTAATGTAAACCCAGGAAAGTGACTTAATTCTTTACTATTTAGTTAAAATGCAGTCTGGCTTTGTTCATAAGGCTAAAGCATCTAAGCCAATGTAGGGAAGCAATAGCAACAACAACAATCAAGCGAATGGCCTGCATTCTGATGATACAGCAATCAGCTGATTGACTGAACGTTCTGTTCTTCACTTGTTGCCATAGCGCTACTACTACACCTGCTGAATGCTGCAACCTAGAGGCTCTCGAGATGCAATCCCAGAACAGCAGCATCAGCATAACCTGGAAATTTGTTAGGAATGCAAATTCACTGCTCCTAGCCCAGATTTATTGAATTAGAAACTCTGGGGGTGGGACCCAGCAATTTGGTTTAACATATGCTCACGATAATTCTGATGCTCACTAATATTTGAAAACTGCCATTACATCAATTAGTTAAACAGTTTAAAAAGAAGTAAGTGCAAGTAATTGTCACACGGGATAACTCAAAGCTTCACCTAATTATTTGATTAAATTCTTCAAAAATTTACCAAAGAAAATGCAGTTTACTAACAAACAGCCCCTTAGAAAACTAGGTTCAGTGATGCTTTCTTTGTTTTCTCTACATCAGTTTTGTTATTATTTCCTAACCTTTTGATATCAGTGAAAACTCTTATGTAAGCTGAATTTGCTTATTGAATTCAGGGATTGTGTGTGTATAGTAGCAACTATTGCCTTTGCCTCAGTTCATTTGTGAATTAGCATGACATATTCATTTCTTCTAAGATCACATACCCCTTGTGTTTTAAAATTCTTCATTCCCTTAACAAACCATAAAAACTCTAAGTTAAGACTCTCTTGGGTTAAGAATCCACGGTGATGCCAGTGAAAATAAGGAATGCCTGGGAGTGATTTTATAGCTTTTCTTACTGATTGGGGAAAATCCTCTGGCTACAGAAAGTTGCAGGAAGCTTTTATAGCTCAGATGCCACTGAGTTGGAGGACAAACTAGAAAAGGCAAATTCTTGAACACATTTTAAATATTTAAGCTTAGAAAAAAATAAGATTTTATAGGAAAAACCATCAAATGTCTTGCTGTAGATTTATTTAACACATAAATTATTCATTATTTTGTGAACTAAATGGTTTCAACATATAGACATATTTGAGGGTGTGTATTAAGGATAAAATAAATTATGTTTAAAAATGAACTTTCTTTTTGGCCTGGTTTCCTGAGGTTGAATGAGTATTGAACTGGACTCAATTTGTTCTCTAAATTCATTCAATGCTTTCTCTAGGAAGCTGCTTGTCTTTAGCTTTTAATGTAGATCTTGCCTCCTTTTTGTGATATGAGTGCCACCTAGAGTACACTCTAGGAACTCCCTTAAGCACTATAAACGATTACTGAAAAATGGCTTTTAGAACTCCATCCTTTCTTAAACAAGTCAGAACCTCCGTAGCAATAGTATTTTAAAGGAGAAAGCAAAGATCTTCACTTTCAGTAATATAACAAGGTCAAGTTTGCCAGTCAGAACGTTACCTAGATCTTCCATTTACTTATAACATCTGTTAAACCATGTGTTAGGACGATGGCTATACCATATCATAGAGTGTTTTGTTTATAGATAGATACAGTGTTATTTCTTTAAAGTGTAATTGGGCTACCAACTATTTTATGCCAATTTGATTCCCTTAGTAGCACTAAATATCCTCTCTATATTAGGCAGTTTAACTAAAAAATGATGAAAATTTTCTTATCTCCTATTACATTCCATTTTAAATTTGGGTGTGTTTTGATATAAAATGGCATGAAATAAAATAGCATATTGGTGTTTAACTTCTGAGGGGCCGCATAAGGAAGTAAACGTAAGTACCCTATCTGGAATGTCTATTTTGGGTCTGAATAATGGTTTTTTAGTGTCTGCAGGCTTTTCAATCACAGGGCAATTGGCACTGCTTTACCACATTGAAGGGAGAATACCAATTTCTGGGATCACAAGTTTATTTTTACAGATAAAATGTATATTATAAAGTCCTATTTGCCACAATAAAATATGACCTTTTCCCAATTATTTTATTTGTTTAGCTTATCCAACAAAAGTATTAACATAAACATTAACAACGTCGAAAGTAGCCTACTTTAAGAGAAAATATGCAGAAGAAGAAGATTTACATCAAGATTACCATGGGTATTTTCCAAAAGTAAGGGTTTACTTATTATTTTTTAATTTTTATAAATGTTGTCAACAGTAAAAAACCATAGTTTTTGTTTTTCTAAATATAGATTTAATGATCGTGTTTGCTTTCCAGCACCTGATATTGCCTGAGGACAGAACTTGCATTCTCAAACTTTCTCTGGAGAAGCTCAGGTTTCTTGAAGACCCAGAAACCTACTTAAGAAGGTCTGTGTTAATTAACAATTTGCTGAGGAAGATACATCTAGAGACGGAGAAAGAGAGCTATGAATACTTTAAAGAAGCTCCCTGTTATAAGACTGCATATTCTGATACAAGAAAACGGCTGAAGTTTATGGTACAGGAATGCTGTTCTCAGTCTCTCTATTATGAAGAGCTGCATTCATATCATATTGTGCCTTATGCTTCGGAGAATGCCATTTACGAAATGGGCTACACTAGCAGCCACTTGGAGCAAAATTCTCAGTTGCTTATTTATAAAATGAATTAAAGTAACTGTTAAGTTCATTGATACTTTGTTTCTAAATGCCTGAACTGTTTATAGTGAAGATGTTAATATAAGGCACTCATTATCAGTGCACTTGATATCAAAGATGAGATGCATGCTGAATGGGTTGGAGAGAACAATGGTTATATTACTCAGCAGTCCTTAGAATCATCACATTGAATAGAAAAAAATGTTCACATATTATAAAGCAGTGAATTAGTGCTTTAGAAGCAAAGATTTTTTTTTTTTTTGAAACATAAGATGTGTAGGAAGGGACCTACGTTAAACTATTATACAGATTAAATAATGTTCTTTTATGTCCCTATTTCCAAATTCTGCCACTCTTACTGGAAAGTAATGAGAGTAACAGATTAAATTGATAAGGCCATGTCCCTGAGGATGCAGGGTTTGATTTTCTGTAAGTGACATGAAGAAGGGTTGGTTCTTTCTGAAGTGCTTTGACTTTTCAAGCATTGTGCCAAATAATAGTTTGACACTGTTCTCCTTTTACCATTAGTAGCAATTCAAGTTGGGGCAAACACACTGCAAATACACTGCTGAATGTAACAACAAGATTACTCCAAACTGATTCATTTTACTATTTTGCGGGGAGGGCTTAGACTTTTCTCTTTAAAAGTGAAATTTAATAAAATAGCCTTGCAGAAAGGTTTATCTGTAAGTTCTACAGGTTGGTTAAATTTTGTGGTGGGCCTTTATTTAGGAGTTTAAATTTTATTTATTTAATTTTTTATAGGCTGTGGCGCTCAGGAAAAGGGTAGGCAGGTAAAATTGGTTTTTAATGAGTTGATAATTTTTTAGAAACCTTATCTGCAAAAATTAATGAGAACAACAAATTCCACATGATGTTATTTCTTCATCTAGCTAAGAGTACATTTAAGGCTGCCTGGATGAAACTTTGCACTGATTTTTGTATAGTAGTCGATCAGTCACTATTTGACAAATTGTTTCAGAATGAATATGGTGGTGAAGTTTAGATAAGTCACTATGTTCTGCAGTTTGACAGATAATTATTTAACAAGTTGGATAGATTCATGAAATTATTTGAAGTGGTTCATAATGTTCTTTCATGTTTGAGAGAGATGTGTGATTTCAGTGTCTGAAGTTTTGTCCTCTGGAGCATATCATTTAAAGAAGTGTCATTAACTGATAAAACAGAGTGGAAAAACTAGGTGCCAAAGGTGTATTTAAGAAAATACCAAAGATTCAAAGATGAGCATTAGGAAGACTATGGTAGTGAAGGTAAGAATCTAAAGTAAGGATTGCACAGGACATAGAAGAGCATTGTTAAAGGGGTTTGGGATGATTTGCTCACTAATATGTTTTTGGAACACTTTATACATAATAATGATAATCAAGGGTACTGCTTAAAATGAAGATACTACAGACCTTCAGGAATCATAGGCCTTTGAAAAAAATCTATGTATGGTAACTTGTCCACAAAGTATCTTCCCTAGGTGGATGCCAACTTGTAACCAAGAAGACCTTCTTCTATTCAAGAGAAATTTTCTTTTAGTTTTGATTCAATGCTTGGTCCCTCTAATTAATCACTGGGGTGAGTAATAGAATTCAGTTAGTATAAAGAATATTGGTTCCCTAAGTAGCCTGGATTGTTGAAGACCACATAGATCTATTATTGATAAGACTGTGAGGCTTACGTTTAATTACTCAATCACAATTAGAAAGAAATGCTTTTAAAGAAACTAAAAAATTATAATTTAGGTTAATTTTTAAAGGCAATTTAGTATAACTGATGAGATAGCTTTGAAATACAGATTTAAATGTTTAAAAATTAATCTGAGGGAAAGATTTGGTATCAGAGTTTCAAAACTTTTATTTCACTGCTTATAAAATACTTTACAGAATACTTAAAAATAAGATTTTATTTGAAAAACTCCAAATGTGGTGGGATAATTAATAACACCATTATATAGTTTTAAAGGTAGAGTTAGCTTTCTAATACTTTAAAATATTTTCTCAAATGAACATCGACTTACAATGTCTATAAGTAAAAGACATCAATGCTAATAGATATGACTTACAAAAATGCCACATATCAAAAGTTATTGAGGTTTAAAATACATAAACTTTGGCACAGAGAAGACTGGAAGAGGAAAAAACATCAAAAAAGTACAACATTGCAGTATTTATTGTATTTAAGAAATCTTAAAGTGAGAACTCTTGAGCAGTGAACAGTGACAGATGTAAAAACCTGTTGTATTTGATGATGTCACTGAGTTTTCTGATCTATACATTCATATACTGAGAAGGAACTGTCTTAAAAAGCAGTGATTTTTTTTTTTTAGTTTAAATTCTGGGATACATGTGCGGAGCGTGCAGGTTTGCTACTTAGGTATACACTTGCCATGGTGGTTTGCTGCACCCATCAACCCATCATCTACACTAGGTATTTCTCCTAATGCTGTCCCTCCCCAGTATAGTTGTTAATATGCTTTTTTAAAAAAGGTGTCTCTCTCAAAACAGGTAATTAAAAAAATATCTTGTAGAGCATTTAATTATTTTTCCCGATAAACAACTCATAGATAAGGGGTTAACTAATGTTTTCTTGGAAAATTTATATGTAAACTGTGTAAACTTAACCTGAGTTAACCAATAGACGACTGGGGTTTTACCATGGCAAACTGTTATATAGGGAGACCCATATACAGGCTTGTTTTGCTGACTACCCAGCATGGTCTATTATAGGAGATGCAAAAGGTGGAAGACCACTTACAACTTTTTTTTTTTAATCTGGACATCCATTCTCTGGTGACAAGAGCCATCCTTATGATAAGGAAGATAAGATAGAAAACAGAGAGCCTTTGGTAATGTTGATTTTTCTCGTGGAAATGTTGATTTTTTGTGGGTGCCCAACTAGCCTGAAGGTCAAGTAAAGAAGAACGCAAAAATGGTAGAAGAGGAAAAATGAAGGAAAGATGATAAAGGGTAGGGCCAGAGAAATAAAAAGTAGGATTAGTAAGTGAAAGAAAAAGTTGTTTCATTGTGGGTATGTGTTGGGGGTGTTCTTGCAATGTATTGATCCTTTCTTTCATTCACCTGTGATGCTTAAGACTAGATTCTCTTCAGCATATCTACTATTTGCAACGTGGTACTACTGTAAAATAGCCCTGAAACTGAGCTCTTTGGGTGGATAAACAAAGGAAAAATGGAAAATAATTAAGATGAGGGAAAGACTAAAGCATAAGTCTGTGTATAAATGGATAAGCTCAAATGCAATATCTGGTTTCAATGTAACACCCAAGATTTAACAAACTCAATACTAGGAGACTTGAGAATAAGTGCAATTTACCACCATTTATTGAGCGGCTATTATGAGCCAGGCACTGTGCTAGGGCTGGGGATACATAAGTGAAAGATGTATGGTCCCAGAACTCAAGATTGTTTGGTTTTGTTTTACCAAATCCAAATGCAGTACCTGCATTTCCCTTTTCCAAACTGAGATGGTTATCAAACATGTCTTTCAAAAAGTGTTTGTAGGTGAGAAGATGCATAAGGCGAAGGAAAGTTTCCCTGATCCAGATCTTAGATGGAAAGAAGAGGATACATTTTGCTTTGCAGCATATTAGTTGTTGGCAAAAAGCCACTGTTGCCTAGGGGAAGTGTGGCTGGCCTTAGCACATCCCTGGGGCGTATCTGTGGGTGTGGTAGGGAGACAAATCAAGTAGGGAACAATTCCTTCTCCCCTTACCTCTCTAGTTTCCATGTTCTTTTATGGGACAAATTGGGTTAATATTAAGTTAAGGAAATCATTATAGGAGAAAGAGAATCAATACTTCACAGCCTGAGAGTTGTGTATGTTGTGTGCCAGGTCAGAGGGGCAACCTTCTTTAATTTGCCTTGTGCTGGTGAATTGCTTGAATGAACTTTGGTTATTTCTTAACACCAGGTACTGGAGCCATCTTCCTTCCCGCCCTCTGGTTTCCTCTTTAAATCACAGCCTGACCCCGGTCTTTATAGTGCATTTTAAGTGGGAGTTATAGTTCTATTCTTCACCCACACCTTGCTCCCTAGCATTGATACTTAGAGGAAAGTAACACTTTGCAGTACTGGCTTAACTTTTATGGGAAAGTTTCTGGAGTATATCAAATAAGAATTCATCATAGTAACATGGTTGTTACTGGCTGTAAAAAATTCTGTTTGAAACTATTGTACTTAGTTATTAAATAATTGTTTACTAAGGCAATCTTCATGTTTCTGGAAATCGGTGTAATAGTTAACAGTTGTATGTGTCCCACAAAAGAAACTACTTAGGTTAGAAGCAATGGAAAGTTGTGTATAATTAATTCAGTCAGGTCCTGTAACATATGGCATTTTAACTTACATGTTCTCTTTCTCAGCCTTCGTTACTATACAGCAGCAACAAGATAAACTTCAAGTTTTTTGTTTCTTTATTAAGTGGACCATGTCTAAAAGTTGTTACATTCCAGGTTGAACATTATGGACAATATTTCTCTATTAAAGTAGTTTTGTATCTCTCAAGGATTATGCTTTAGGGTTGGGTGGATTAAAAACATTACATTAGTGCTTCCTGAGCATACAAGTCACTAGGGATCAAGCGAAGATACAGATTCCTTTTAGTAGGTTTGGGATGGGGAATGAGGGTCTTCATCTCTCAAATCTCCCTGGTGATGTGGATGCTGCCAATCCATGGATCACACTTTGAGTCGGAAGATTCTACATCATTTGAGAAATATGAATACTGAAGCCTACACTCTTAAACTTTCAGAGATTCTGTGCTCATGTCTGTGTTCTATAGAAATATTTTTCTTTAAAGAAATAAAACGCCACTTTGGGAGGGCGAGGCGGGTGGATCACGAGGTCAAGAGATCAAGACCATCCTGGCCAACGTGGTGAAACCCTGTCTCTACTATATCCAAAAATATTCGCCGGGCATGGTGGAACATGCCTGTAATCCCAGCTGCTTGGAGGCTGAGACAGGAGAATTGTTTGAACCCAGGAGGCGGAGGTTGTGGTGAGCCGAGAAT